GGATTATTTGTTTCAGTTCAATTCCCAGGGCTACCCTAGCCATCCACTGCCCCTTGACCACACTCTCCCTTGTAGCCCTACTAAACTAAAGACTTCTATTCTCTATATAGGGTGAAAGGTGTATGTGGGCTTTTTGACTCATACTCTTGCTTTCAATGGTAGGTGCACCTAAGAATAGCATTACTCCTATAGTGGGATCCACAGGGGAGTTGTCTTTCGCTTCCCTCTAGCAATAGCAGGAGCTGTAGGAGGGCTTTGAACGAAATCCAATAGTATAGTACTGACACTTGACTTGTGACTTTCCTTCAAGCAAGAATAGGAATTCGTACATAAGCTGCTATCGAACTTTAGAATGGCTTGTTAGCAAAAGAATGCCTTCTTAGGTTAGGAAGTGAATCTGAATATGCCTGCTCGAGAATGCCCTCTTTTTGTTCTCTCAATCTTCAGGGGAAATGGTCAAGTAGAATCTCCTGTAGAAGAATGATATTTATCTACAAACCTAGGGTGCGGTTTCCATCAATCATAGGTATGGCCAGTCTTGTGATTCCCCTATTCTTTTCTTAGCTATCTTGTGAATTCAGTTAATTTTTCGGAAGATTGTAGTACATCTGAAACTCGGAATATGAAATCCTATTTCCTGTTATACTTGTAATAGTAATTAGAATGGTGCTTCTCATGTTATTAAGATTTAAGCCAAACACTACCATGTGTTGTTTCTTGTAGAAGTTCTTCATGTGTTTCTTTGTTCAATGCTTATGTGGACTTCAATTTTTAGATTCCAGGTGGAGTTACAGCTGCAAAGGGTTTCAAAGCTGCTGGGATGTATGGCGGGTTGCGTGCAGTTGGAGAGAAGCCTGATCTTGCTCTCGTCACTTGCGATGTAGATGCCACATCTGCAGGTTGGTTCCCTTCTTTCAAAGTTGGAATGCCTCCTTGGAGTGATTGATTGATTCAGATTCGCTTTTCAATGATAAAATCTCCATCATAGTGGGGATTGAAACAAGTTCTGTGCTGTAATCCAATTCCTTGCAAAGCAAATCGCTCGGAAGCACACGAATGAAGTTTTATGGCTGTTAACCTATTATTAGCCTTCTAAAGCGAGTTCTACTTATTAGTTCACAACAACTGTAGTTATTTTGCAGGTGCATTTACTACTAATGTGGTTGCAGCTGCACCTGTGCTGTACTGTAAGCAGGCCCTTGAGAAGTCCGCAACGGTATGTTATAGAAATATCTTATCCATACTACAGGCTATAGAAGGCTCTCATAGGGGAGGGGATTCGGCTCTTTAGGCAAAAACTACATCGATTAAGTAGACAAAAGTCGAAACAACTATAAGATGTTGATCAATAATTGGTCTTGTTGGTTATACATTCCGGTTATATGTTTGTTTACCTGAAGGTTAAAAAAAACGTGTTGAATTTTATCACTTCTATGTCCAGTTATCAAGATAATCACAGTTGGCTTATAAACATAGTTGGCTTCATAGCAAAACCGTATTGCGCGAATTGTATGGGATAGACTAATAAAGAATTGCGACTTATGAACATAGTTGGAAGATTATGCTCGGATTAATTTTATTTTATTTATGTATTTATTATTTCTGTGAAAATAATAAGTTTATGCATTTAATCCTGGTCATCGGTGGTCATGATGCCTGCTCTGTTTTTCTTAACCCGAGATACCAGCATATAGGAATAACCTATGTCAAGCGATTTATTCAGAGGACTCTAATTGGTGCTTGAAAACTTGTCCAAGACTTAATAAATTATAACAAAAACAAAATAGTCGCAAAATGAACTACCTTTATATTTGTGATCCACTGAATTTTGACGATCACTTATATGTTTCTCTCTAATAATTAATTGGTTTCCTCTTACATCTTCAAACTCCAAACAACCTTCCCCCCCACCCCACTCCAAAAAAAGAGAAAAGGAACGCAATTGTAAAATGTGGATGGCTTGACTGATTATTTCTTGTATCATTTCAGGCACGCGCAATACTAATAAATGCTGGTCAAGCGAATGCAGCAACGGTAACTTTTTTTATGCAATTGCTTCTTCTCATCCAAAAGAGAGAATCTTCTAGAACGGTGAAGCTAAGATTCCATTGAATTTGTTTTAGGGTGATGCAGGTTACCAGGATGTTATAGAATGTTCCCATGCCCTTGCTGAGGTATTCATATTTCATTCTTTCCCTTTTCCTCATTATTTAATGGGAAAATTGCAACTCCCGCATTTAACTTCCTAAAGAACACAGTTGATGCAACTGAAGCCAGACCACGTCTTGATAGAATCCACTGGTGTGATAGGCCAACGTATTAAGAAGGTCAATACCTAGTCCTCACTAAGTCATGTGGTATTTTTTTCTTAATGAATGCGTATTCTATGTTGTCTAATAGGCTTGAGTAGAAAAGCCAGTCTCTGGGCTGTGGCTGTTCACCTTGGATTTACATGAGGATTGTTATTCTCTGTGATGCAGGAGGCTCTTCTCAAGTCACTTCCAGACTTGGTAAATCGTTTATCATCAACTGTTGAGGGGTAACTGCCTAGATGGATTCGTAACTTCATTTCTCTGCTGATAAATTGACTAGTATTGAGCCGATGTTGTACCTAGATGATGAGATGGCAATTTTTAAGCTTTTTCCTGTTTTACTTTAATCATACTTTCATTCGAACTCAATGATATCATTTCCATTTTTTATTTTATTTTGATTCTCTTTTCTGATTTTGCTGGTGTTGAGAATTGCTGCTCCATTTGCAGGGCAGACTCTGCTGCTGTAGCAATAACTACCACCGATCTTGTAAGAAAAAGTGTCGCAATTGAATCTGAGGTGTGATCCATTCTTTCCTTTTTGTTTTTGTTTTTTCTTGGTTTTTTTTTTTTTTTTAGGTGAAATGTGTTTTTTATCCTCATTTGTTGATATAGAACTGCTCCCGACTTCAAGGCTAGCATATGGATACCACTGATCATACCTCTGCATATGTAGCAGTGTAGATAGAAAAATGGCTATCTGCATCACCTCATCTTTTGCTTGGTCGCTTATATAGATACTGTTCTTTTTACAATTTTCTTCTGTAGAAGTTAAAGAGCTAGATTTCTTGTAGTTCATTTTTCGAAAAAACGGAAGAACACTGGAAACTTGAACACCTCCCTAACTGTGATCCAAAATTCCCCCCATCTTTAATTTCAATGATGGAAGGTCCAATATCTTTAATTTTGTATTTCATTTGCCTCACGAGCTTTGAAGCTTATCTGTATGTTAAGTTTCGAGATATTTTCGTTTCTATTAATATATCTTTCACATTTTAGGTTGGCGGAAAAAGAGTAATAGTTGGTGGTATGGCAAAGGGTTCTGGTATGATTCATCCTAACATGGCTACCATGCTTGGGGTAGGTTCTTACAATTTTCTTCTGTTTACCCAGCAATTGGCTTACCTAAGTGCGTAATAATGATATACCATTCGCAGGTCATAACAACTGATGCCTTGGTTACAAGAGATATTTGGCAACAAATGGTGCGAGTTGCTGTAAACCGTAGTTTTAATCAAATTACTGTAAGTGTCAAACTTATCCCTGTCTCATGCTTCGATTAGTGGAATAAATCATGTTGTTCACGGCCTTTTAATGTAAATGGCACGAGTTGTTCACTGCCTTTTACTGCTCAAAACATATGTAAATTAGGTTTTCCCCCCTTCTCTCTCTCTCTCTCTCTCTCTCTCTCCTTTCTTCCTTTTCTTATTTTGCTTCGTGTAACTAAATAAGATGAGACTTTCTGCACTCCAAGATCTAATTGAGGATGATTCTTTGGCAGGTTGATGGAGATAGCAGCACTAATGATTGTGTTATTGCTTTGGCTAGTGGCCTTTCAGGAACAAATGAGATCTCTTCATTAAACAATTCTGAAGCCGAACATCTGCAAGCATGTCTGGATGCTGTAAGTGTATTTTTCAGTCGATACAAAATGATCAATTGTACCATCTATGTTTGCACATGCAGAGTATCTGTATGAAGTTTGTTTTTCATACTTTTACCTATAGAAACCCTTCTCAAACTAAGTTGTCAATTTTTTGTATCCGGGGAAATTCATTCTGAAATAGTTTTCTTTATCTTTAGTGACATTGAGTTCTGATCTTTCTTGTTTATAAATAATTAAATATTACAGTATTCAACGGCGAGTTTGATGGTTCAAGACCCGTTTACCTAGTAGTCATCATTAATGTAAACCAGAAATTAGTAAAATTGATGTGACATACGTGCTTGTGTGCGGGTAGCTAGTCACTCTGCAGCATCTCTACTATTTTAATATCATAACTGATCATCGAATTGTCTGAATGGTGGCAGTAATTAACTAATTTAATTTTGACGAATTAAATTTAATAACCATCTTTTGTCAGGTAATGCAAGGTCTTGCCAAATCAATAGCTTGGGATGGTGAAGGAGCAACATGTTTGATTGAGGTCTGCATCTTCTATAAAAGAATCAATCAAAAAAAATATTGCTACGTCATTTTCAATCCACAAACATCTTAAAAAAGGAAAAATACTGTTACGACATTTTTCTTCCACGAACATACAGTTTGCCTGAATTTCATGATTTCTGCTCGATCCCATTCACTTGTGTGAGGCTGTGAGCAAATACAATCAGAAACTGTATTCTACCTTAATCACGCAGAGAGCAACACTTTACATATATTAATTTGGCATTATAAAGAAATTTTAACTCACATTTTGAATGCTTGGGCTGATTTTACTTGAATTATGTTTTACCAAGGTTAATGTGTCAGGAGCTAGAAACGAAACAGAAGCAGCAAAGATCGCCCGATCCGTGGCATCTTCTTCATTGACCAAGGCATGCCCCAATATGTATTCATCTGCAACTGAATTTTTTCAGTCACACAATTTGCTTAGCTCTGAATTTCCTTTATCCAATATAGGCTGCAGTATATGGCAGGGATCCAAATTGGGGCCGTATAGCTTGTGCAGCTGGTTATGCAGGAATTCCTTTCAATCAAAATGAACTCCGAATATCACTTGGCGAGATTCAATTGATGCACAATGGACAGCCATTGCCTTTTGATAGGTAAAACTGTAGAAGTGAAATTCCTTTGAATAAGATAGAAACTAGTGCACTATTATTCTATCTCTGCTATTAAATATGAATCAAAATGAACTCTGAATATCACTTGGTGGTATTCAATTGATGGATAATGGACAGCCTCTACCGTTTGATAGGTAAAAGTGAAATTCCTTTGAACAAGATAGAAACTAGTGCACTTTTATTCCATCCTGCTATTATGAATCAAAATGAACTCCGAATATCACTTGGCGATGTTCAATCAATGGGCAATGGACAACCTCTGCCTTTTGATATGTAAAAGTGCAATTCCTTTGAATAAGAGAGAAACTAGTGCATTAATATGAATCAAAAATGAACTCCGAATATCACTTGGCGACGTTCAATTGATGGACAATGGACAGCTTGTCCCGTTTGATAGGTACAAGTGAAATTCCTTTCAATAAGATAGAAAACTTGTGCACTATATTTCCATCTCTGCTATTAAATATGAATCAACAGAACCAAAAGAAAAGAGAAGTAAATTAAGTTTATTGCAGGGCTGCCGCTAGTAATTATCTCAGAACAACAGGCGAGAAACATGGAACGGTTGTTATTCAGATTTCCATTGGTGAGTTTGGGATTATATCAGATTTGCAAAGCCTTTATTCATTTTATGTTTCAATTTCTTCTTCTTCTTTATATATATACCCTTCTAAAATCTTAGTCCCTACTTGCCAATCGTAAAATCTTTGTGGCTTGAACCTCTTAAATATTCTGCTTGAAGGGATTCGAATCTTACGATTGACATTACCATATTTTCGACAGGTAATGGTCCAGGAAGTGGGCAGGCATGGGGCTGTGATCTCAGCTATGATTATGTGAAGATAAATGCTGAGTACACCACATAATCTTCTTCAAAAAGAAACTGCATGTACTCAGCTACCCATATTCCCTTCTACAATCTTAGTCCCTTCTTTTTTTTTTAAAAAA